CACCCGTTGAAGCACGCTTCAGCATGTGTGTCATTCAGACTTATTAGTGCGTTCTTATTGTTCATGGGTTAGTGATGGGTTAGTGAACAAACCCTTAAACCAAAGTATTAAACTTCTGTGCTTTTTGGTCAGTTTGAGAATTTGGTCAGAAAGCATCTGCAACATGTCTAATGATTTTTGTTCTAAATATGCCTGACAAGATATTTTTGATATACAAATTATTGTTACACTGAATTCCTTTTTTTTTTCTTTTTTTTTCTTTTTTTTCTTCTTCTGTCAGGGTAAAAAATGTATAATTACTATTTCATTATTTTTTGTTGTTTTTCATTTTATATATATATATTAGGGCTGTCAGTTTAATGTGTTAACTTAATTAGTTATGAAAAAATAGCGCAATTAAAATATTTTAACGCACTGGCCACGCTCCCAGACCTGTATGTCATCTTACATTTCATACTGTTGACAAATATGATGCAGGGCTACAACTTCATAAATGCTGTTATGCCGTAAAATGCAAGATATTGGGGGGGAAAATGCCCGTATGTCTCATATCTCTTTGTCTCATATTTATATAATAAGCGATATCACACAAGTGCCGCTTTTGTTCTGATTTGCACGAGTGCAAATGTGATTTGATACAACAGTTCAGTAAATAAGAAGTTAATAGGGCTGCCACGATTATGAAATTTGGCTGACGATTAATTGTCTAAAAATAGTCGCAATTATTGCAATTGTCTGTTTTAGGGCTTTGGCAATTATGCCGATTATCACGAATAATTGTCTGTTTTTATGGCTTTCATTATATAATTGATTAATTTAAGGGTTCAGTAAATAATTATGATGTTATCTTTTAATCTTTTTGAGTTATTATTTTGCAGTGTAAGATTACAAAGAGTATTCCAAATTCTAAGAATTGGCCAATACCGATCCAACACCAGCGCTACTTTTTTTCGACACCACTACAGAATATCATTACTGTGTTTGTGGAACTAATGGTCACTCTTTTAAACCCTTTGTTAAACGCAATCCACTAAATACTCACTTCCTCATTACAGAGGAAAACTACATTTGAATAAAAATATATAAGCTATGAAATTAAACTAGCTGACTGTATAATTTAGCCGCAAAAACAATATCTTGAAAAATCTTTGGTGCACATTATACAATTTAAACATGTTTATTCTGTTAACTATTTTGTTCACAAATAATACTACTGATGATAAAGAACGGGTTGAATGTTAACCACTTTCGTTTCCATATAACTATAAACTATGATAAAAGTTTATCAGCATGCATTGAATGATCCCATGTTGTAGCATAAAAAAAAAAAAAAATATATATATATATATATATTGCGACCAAATCATGTGCTTGTGCGACCAGCTGAGAAAGTTAGTTGCAAAACAGCGACCAGTGGGAAGAATGAGTCTGGAGCCCTGTATATGCTATACAGTGCATGAAAAGCAAACTGGTGCTCTTCGGTTTCTTTTGGTGTATGACTCCCCCCTTGTCTCGTATAAAAAGCACAATAATCGCGGTTGTCTGAAACAACCACGGTTAGAACAAATAATCGCGATTAGACTGTTATTTAATTATCGCGACAGGCCTAGAAGTTAATATTGTGTTATATTTTAAACACAATATTGTGTGTTTCCATTTTGCCAACGAAAATATTACCTATAAAGCCACAGCAGATCTGTTGTGCGTCTCCGAGCAACACAACGGTGTTTAGTTTCTGAATGAATCCATGTTTTGAACGAATCTTGTGAACCAATGATTCAAAGACCCATTCATAGAGAGCCGTTTACTTCATTCCTGAATGAATCAGCCGTTTAAACGAATCAACTCATAAAGACATACATCTGCTGGTAGTTTCAGTTTCTAAAGGGTTACTCCACCCCAAAATGAAATTGTTTGGTGGAAGAATACTGTTTTTATTTATATCATTACACTTTATTTGCTCTTGTTTTATTCTGTGGAATAACCGTTTTATAAAAGCAATAAGCCCCGTGAAGCCGTGGTTTACAGTGAATTTATAACCGCTAAGGGGCGTTGTTAGGCACGACGCGGAGCTTGGGGCTTATTGCTTTAATTTGATGCATTCCGAGAGCTCTCTGACCCTCCCATAGACAGCAATGTAAGTAACACGATCAAGGTTCAGAAACGTAGCAAGGATCCATGTGACATTAGTGGTTCAACCGTAATTTTACGAAGCTACGAGAATACTTTTTGTACACAAAGAAAACAAAAATAACGACTTTATTCAACAATTCGTCTCCTCCGCGTCACCGTAGCGCCATTTTGGAGAGTATCCACTGAACACAAACAGCGTATGCTCTTCTGTGTCAACCGTACCACACGGATGCGTTGTTTTTGTTCAAATCAAAGCGTAAATAAACGTAGAAAACGTATCTGATGTATGGCTGTAACTACATCTGAGAACTGGTCGTCTGTTGAACAATGCCGCTCATCTTACAGACGTTTGCTTCCCAGATCATTTTTCACATTGTAATAAGAGCGCATTATTTCCGTTTCTTTCTTCTGCTTGTGAAACTTTGATTACAGCTGATGTTACTTGTTGCCCCGGGCCAAAAGCAAATCTGAAGCGGTCAGGAATTTCATTCAACATTTTAAGTTAAATTCAAATGTTCCTAATATTATTAATTTCAATATCACACCTCTCACATTATCATGTGCAGAACGATTTCTGCAATTTTAAGCATCTCCCTTTATTGTTACTCATGCAGGGAAGCAGCATTCACTAGAAGAGCGGTGTGTGTGTGATACTGTGATTAGTGGTGTTTGCCAAGGCAAGTGTCTGTGTATTTTAAGCATCTCCCTTTATTGTTACTCATGCAGGGAAGCAGCATTCACTAGAAGAGCGGTGTGTGTGTGTGATACTGTGATTAGTGGTGTTTGCCAAGGCAAGTGTCTGTGCTATTATTATTCATACTTGCAGTTAGTGATTTGTTTGGTGTACTTAAACTAGGTATTAAACTTCATTGTGCGCGTCATCTCCAGAAATGAATGATTTCTCAAATCATTGTTAAGGGAACGGTGTGCTGTTAGAGATCAGATGTGTCATTTTCACCTGAAGGATGTTAAAACGGGTGAAAAACACCCCACAGACGCACACTGAATGAGACACCCGAGCGATCAGAAGATCATAGACACTTAGTAAGACAAGGGCTGCTCAATTATGGCACAAATCATAATCATGTATATTTTGGTCAGTACAGAAATCACGATTATTTATCACGATTACTCATTGAAATAACCTAGCAACACCCTGGAAACCACCCAGAACACCCCAGTAGCCACATAGCAACCATACACATTTTCTCTTGAAAATGTACAAAGCTAGTTTACCATTAATCTTTTAAGATGACAGGTGTATCCACAGTATTTCATGATCTTTTGCTGGATCATACAGGTCATGAATATGGATTGGGAATTGTAAGGATATTCAGATGAACAAGATTGCCAGCCCTAGTCATGAATGTACATGCATTCACTTTTGCCATCCGTTTATGAACACAAATGAATAAGCATTATGAGAAAAAGAGCCGCGGGACGGACTACCATCCACAACACAAGTACTTATCAAGTGTGTCTGCTGCTGTTTACCAGAGCCCAGATCTAAGGCTCGTTTATCATTATGGACTGGATCTGCTCCCAGTCTGTTTGTTTGGCACAGATACAGCAGTCGAACGAGTCGTAAATCTTCAATATGACACTTATCACGAGGGAATCCTGCAGATGTGGCAGCCCTTTGACAAACGAGCTCAAAGATGTGCTCTAAAGTCCTGTTGTTCTTTCTTCACCAGCTTTGGCTCAGCCGTCAGCAAGGTTTCGGCAGATCTGAGAGTGAATTTACACTTGCTTTATGTATTAATAATGTCACAGTCAGACAGAGGAATAGTCAAGTGTTTTAAGAAAACGAGAAATAGTTTATTAGATTAAGTGTTTCTTAGTGATCTTTATCACACTAAAATTGCATGTTTGAAATATCTAGATTATCTTTAAATAGGGTCACTCATAATTTTTTTGGGCCCTATGAAATCCGTTTAATTTTTTCCCAAATGTTGTTTTTTCCGTTAAAATTTTATATTTAGAATTTAAAATTTCTAGACTCTGTTTTAATGGTTAAATTAAATGTTATTAATCAAAATGCATGTCTAATTAATTGAAATCATGAAACTTACACAATTTAACAGCAATGTATTAAAAGTTTTTTTCTGGCAAATATTACTTTAAAATGTTTTAATAATAATTGTATTATTAATAGTAGTAGTAGTAGTACTATCATTACATGAAGTAATATATTTCTGTCATAGTTTCTTCAAGTTAAACAAAAGTTTTATTTTGACTGTTTGCTGTGAAGACCTTTCGGTTTCTGTTTGTGTATTTGACGATATTTTTACTCTGAAGAAACCGTAAACTGATCATGACGTGAATCTCAGAGCAGTTCTAGAGATTGTTCATGTGTTCATCTACTCATATATTGAAGCAGCAGAGGCTGAAAAAACTGAGCATTGCGCACACTTCATGTGTGTAGTAAACGAAACATGACATGCTCAACATGCAGGATTCATATTTAAATACTATTTTGTACAGCTTAATATTCACAGACACTAGTCCATATCGCATATTGTTTTAAGTGTACTGACCTACTTTTGATTTATTCATCCAAAATTTGCCAAATTCCATGACAATCCGCATTATACAGTAAATTCCATTTTTATGACTGGATTCCGCATTATGCATTGTATCTTGAGGTAGTTGGCAAAATCGAAGACTACTAGCTTCCAAAGATGGTCAGTGGAGAGAGAGACCATCTGGTTTTCAGTGATTCGTCTCCTTTAGCATGAGGCCAGTGCTGATGTGTCTGCAGTGTCGTGTTTGACTCATGAATTAATGATGATTTATCTTCCTGGAATGGAATCCTCGTTCAGTCCCTGTTTAACTTCTCAAATCTCTTCTCTTTGTTCCACTAACAGCGCCGGTCCCAAAGGAGACAACATCTATGAATGGAGGTCAACTATTTTAGGACCACCGGGCTCTGTGTATGAAGGAGGGGTCTTTTTCCTTGACATTGCATTTACACCTGACTACCCATTTAAACCACCCAAGGTAAGAGCGAAGAAATATCCGTGGCATATGAGTGTGCATTGAACTTAGGGGATGATTGATATGGTTTTCAATGACAACTAAAGAGCAGAGCTGAAGATGCCTGATGCCAAATGCACACTTTCTGAGATATACAACCTTTCATCAAAGTTGTCCTAAAACCAAAACAATACCCGTTCTTGAAGTTTGATCCACTTCAAATGTTGACTACTGTATATACACACCATCATACAGCCAATTAAAAAATCCACATCTGTCAGCAACTAATGCATCTGCAACTCTTTCTGCAAGGTACATTTATGCCAGTAAGTGGTGACAAGTGACTCTATCAGATGAATGAGTCACTGACTCGTTTTTGAATCGACTCATTCAGAACACTGATTCAACTTTGAGTGAGTCACTGAATCGTTCATTTGATTTAAACAAAGGCCTAAAAGCCAAAAACTCATCACCAATCACCAATGACTTGTACATATAGGTACAGTCATTTTAGACACTTCCAAAACTGTTGCAACAGAGATGGAAATACAATTTTTAAATACTATGTTTCCATCTTTGTTGCCAAAGTTTTGGAAGTGCCTTTTTCTAAAGAAGGAGGTGTCCCAATAATTTTGTCCATTGGTGTTTGGTGATGAGTTTTTGGTATTTGTTTTATGTACTTGATTATGTTTCTGTATCATAACATGAGTAATTCTTACTGAAAATGATTGTTAATGGGTAAAAGTGTAATTGATGCTGAAAAATGACAAGAATTATTATAAACTGCAGCACTTATTACTACTTATAGCAGTTAAATTTTATTCTATTAAATTTCTGCTTCCTTCAAATCACTATTGCTACTTCAGTTCAGACTCGGAAACTGAATTGGAATTTAAAACCTCAATTCTGTTTAACGGTGAACTTCATTTTTTTCTGTCAGTGCCTTAAGGGCCATTTTATTCAGTCTCTGTCATCCCAGCCCCCCTCAGCAGCGCCGTTCCCCAGGGCCCGTGTGTCTCTATCATTGTCCTTTAACACCCCTTCCAATCTGTCTCTAAACCCCATGTAAATCAGGATGTTCATTTAGAAACGGCCATGTTATGTCCCACATGCGTTTGTTCTCTGGGCTCTTGTGGGTTTGTAGGTAGACAGGATAAAGGAAGTCGTTCTGGTGGCAATTAAACTGTCATGAATCTCAAGGCAAGGAATGTCAAGGTCCATTAAATGTTTGCCCTGAAAGCCTCGGGCTCTTGCACAGATGTCTCGCACACACCCAACATGTTGAGGCTCTTTTTAGTTTAGTTCCTAGTTCATACAGACACGTTTCCTGCGTTTAAGATACTTGAATGTGGCAGTGGCATAACCTCAGATATTAACTACAGCAATTGATTCAGGTGGGGAATTCATGCTGTTGTTCATTTAATAATTTGTTCAAACAATGCAACACATAAAATTTGCATGGCACAGGTCCTCATCTCGCAGGCCAGTTTATTTGAAGTTGTGAAGGATATCGTATACTAATCACGATCTGGTGAATTTATCCCTCCACCATGATCCACACACCTGATTTGGCTCTTTAAATGGCTGAAGGTTTATTTGATTACACCACACATCTAGATATATATCTTTTGATGAATTATGCATCTGTTTTCAATACATTTCTGTTTATTGCTATTTAAAGCAAAAAAATTATAATAATAATTGCATTACTTTTGACGTTTAAAAAGTGAAGTGTACAATTTCTGTACCACAGAAAATTAATATTGTTTCTGTTATTAGTGGTAGTGTTATTTTACTGTCATTGAGATACTATAATAGCTTTTATTCATATTTAGTTCGTTTTCATTTTAGTTAGTCATTTTTGTTGTCTTTGTCATTTTCATTATTTTTTTGTTTTTATTTTCTAAATGTTTGTTATTTTAGTACTTTGACTTTAATCTAATGTTTTCTTGGCAACTGGCTGAAATAAAAATGTTTTTATACTAATGTGTAGGCTATACAGTATTCATTTCAGTTTTAGTTTCTGAATTTTTTAAGTTTAGAATTGTTCATTTTTTTTATTTAATTTTTTTAGTGGTTTAACTATAATAACCCTAGCTTGTGGTTAGCATGCATGCTCTAATATGTGACCCTGGACCACAAAACTTCTTAAGTGTCAATTTTTCAAAATTGAGATGTATACATCATCTGAAAGCTGAATAAATAAGCTTTCCATTGATGTATGGTTTGTTAGGATATCATGTGCTCGTGCGACCAACTGAGAAAGTTAGTCGCAAAAGCGCGACCAGTGGGAAGAATTAGTCTGGAGCCCTGGGATAATATTTGGCCGTGATACAACTATTTGCAAATCTGTAATCTGAGGGTGCAAAATATATATATATATTGAGAATCACTTTTAAAGCTGTCCAAATGAAGTTCTTAGCAATGCATATTACTAATCAAAAATTCAGTTTTGATATATTTACGATAGGAAATTTACTAAATATCTTCATGGAACATGATATTTACTTAATATCCTAATGATTTTTGGCATAAAAGAAAAATCTATAATTTTGACCCATACAATGTATTTTTGGCTATTGCTACAAATATACCCCAGAGACTTAACACTGCTTTTGTGCTCCAGGGTCACATATATGGTGCACTAATGTTGCTACAAATTCAATCCTATCAGCCTTCCATTGAATGTCTTACCTTTCCCAGGTAACGTTTCGTACGAGGATCTACCACTGTAACATCAACAGTCAGGGTGTGATCTGTCTGGACATCCTGAAGGACAACTGGAGTCCTGCCCTCACCATCTCTAAGGTGCTGCTGTCCATCTGCTCTCTCCTCACAGACTGTAACCCAGGTAAGACTCAAACACTCAGTATGTTCTTCTGATCAGGCATCATTCAAGTCTGTAGCACAAACGGTGCGGGACGAGTTGCATGCTAAAGTTTCATATTTAACGTGGGGTTAAGGCTGTACGAATAAATTAAATGAAACCGAATCATGTTATGGCTTAGTGTAAATTGCAACGGCTGCAGTTTAATTAAATAGATGCACAGTGTGTTTTCAAAGTGAACCTTTTAAACCAGCTGTTGTCAAGCTGCCTGCAGTTTTCTGCCAAAATTAAAGCTTGATGGTTTAATGTTTCAAAATGAGGACATGACGACAGCCATAAATATTAGTATTGCAATTTTACAGTTGTACTATAAAATATTATATTAATAAAATATTACAATTATTTATTTTACAGAAAAATATTACAATATTTCATGTAATATGTCTTCGTTTTTTTATTATTATTATTATTGTATTATACTACAATATTAAACTAAATGAAAAATATTACATAACACAAAATATTGTAATTTTACTATAAAAAATAAATATTTAAAAAATATAATAATAATAATGTATTATGTCATTATCTAATAATTATTATTATATTATTAATATTATTTTACTACTTGCTGAGAACTTTTCTTCACGGAAGCTTTGCGTTAAACCAGTGAGATAACGAAATATTTAATCTCTAATCAATATTTTTTGTCCAATTATTTGTCCAGTTAGTTTTGGCACTGAGGTAAAAGTTAGCTTGCATTCGCTATATAACAGTGGGTGGAGGTCACGAAGATGACGGAGCAAATTTGATGCGTTTCCCCCTTTTGCAGCGACTTTCTTCTTGCAAGATCTGCAGACAGGGTGACCGTCCTCGATTAAATTGCCTTCAGGACTCTTGTAAAAGCCAAAATACGACCAGACCACCGATTTGGTTCTCTTAGATGGCTGAAAAATCTCCCGAGCGCTGTCACTGCCTTCCGCCATTTCGTCTCGTGCAAAAACAACAACAACAACAACAACACTGCATGCTGCTTCTGCGTCAGACTAATGCTGGTTGGACAGGATTTACCACGAGTTTTCAAAAGCGCGATAATCAAACACGGTTTTGATGATAATAAAATTTTAAACGGTAATACTAACCGTCAGTGCATTTTATCGTGATTTATCGTGAAACCGGTAATCGTTACATCCCTATTACCTAAATAAGTGTTAATTATTACAAAATAAAAAATGAATATTTGAGGTATTAATAAACTAATAATAATAATAATAACAATATAAAAATATTATATTTTTGTTATATTAAAACGGTTTATTATTATATAATATTCATAATTTAGTAATGTTTCTTAAATATTAAATTTTATTTTACAGTAAAATATTGTGTTGTGTAATATTTCTTTTGTTTAGTAGTAGTAATAATAATAATAATAATTATTATTATTATTATCATAGGAGTTTTTTAGAAACCGAAAAACACATTTTCCTCAAATTGTGCAGCTGTAGTTAGGTCTGTGTTCAAATCATTCACCGTAAGTATGCGCAGTAGTTTAGCCCCTAAGCGGCAGATGAAATGTGTTTTGTATTCGGTTGATTAACGCGCTGATGACGGCTCTTGTGTCCGCAGCGGATCCTCTGGTCGGGAGCATCGCCACACAGTACTTGACCAACAGAACGGAACATGACAGAATAGCTAAACAGTGGACGAAGAGATACGCCACATAAAGCGGGCCGTACAGTATCGACACAAACACACACTATATCCCCCCTCAGCCCTGCTGTGCCTCTACCTCTCCCCGTCTGCTGAAAGCACACTCACCAAGTGCAACAATAGATCTGGCCCCTCTTCCTTCCAACTTCCTCTAGACCTTTCTGTGAAGAAACTGTCCTTTGTTCCTTGTTGACTTGAAAGCTTCTTTTTATACAAAGAGTAGATTGGGACTTTATTTTCCAACTATCCGAATGTTTGAATTACCTTAGGAGAAAAGGAATACTATTGTTATTATTATTGTCCTTCAACTTAATGTATATCCTTTCTTTTTAAGTGGCATCAGGAACAAATACAGCTTATGAACTACTTTATTTCTCTCATCACTGTATAGTGTTTTTTTTCCCCCTCCTCTCTCTCTCTCTCCTTTTGTTAATAGTCAGTAAGACTTCCATGCATGTAAGCGGATGACCAGTCACATCCTTTCAACTCCAAACTCAGCCCTCTTGTTTTGTTTGTATGTATTTTTTAAAGTCATGGCAGCCACTTGACGATAGGCTTGCTTGTGAATTAAAAAAAATAGGAAATGAAAAAAAAAAAAAAAAAGATGTGTACATATTGCTACATGCCACCTCTGGCCAGAATGGACTGTTGTGCACTTGCTTCATGAAAAACACCATAAATAAACACTGTGGCTGAATTGTCATTTCTTGTATGTAACGTTGTATGTTCAGTGCATGTGTTTTTCTCTCTAGTGTTACGCATGACTTCCTGTGCATCTGTTACAAGCGCTTTAAACATCAGTCACACTATACTGCAAAATGTTTGACATGTTTATCATTACTGGCTAATAACTGTGTTTGATTGGCTTATCAGAAGTGTTTCAAAATTAGACAACAGATGCACAGGAAGTCATGCTTGAAAAGATCTGCTTTTCAAATATTTAAAATAGTAAATATTGTGTAAAAAACCTTTTATTTAAAGTCAGCAATACTACTGTATTTGCTGTCTTGAATTTGTATTATAATACATATATCCGGCATTATCTGCCCTGCTCTCTTGATATCAGCATCAGCCAAAACCCATATTGGTTAAGAACTAATCATTAATTTTTAAAATTGTCTGATTTTGTTTGAATTGTATGCTACATGCTGGTTTACCTCTATATGTCACAAATGCAGGGATAAAAAACAGCTAGCGTTATCTCTTACACTTCAACTTGTTTTATCTAATAAATGTGTCATGCAAGAGTTCTGGTTATATATTGTAAAAATATGAAAACCTATTCTGGCAGACGTCTTTTAGTTATCAGATCCAGTTCTGCAACCACTAAGCGACGGCGCTCTACATATTCTACTATTTGCACCAGTTCAAATCATGTTTTATTTATTTTTATGCGGATCTATGCAGATTTTTGATTGTCTATTGTCATGTGTTTAACGTTTGCAAATTTTTGAGTAAACATATTTGGATATTCGATACAAGTTTCTATTATTATTATTATTATTGTTAACAGTAAAATATTGCCTTTTTACTTATTTTGTGATAATTGTATTATTTGTAACCAAATATTATTGTTGTTATTTTTTTATTGAAAAATGTGACCGAAGACATAATAGAAAGTATCAGAACAAATGACAACAACAATAATAAAAACGAAGACAGATAGAAAGAAAAAAAGTGATAATATAATAAGCTATTATAATAATAGTATTATAATAATTATAGTAGTAATATTCAGTTGTAACGTATACAAATATAATATAGACACATTTGTTATGACATTGACTGCTTAGAAATATTTCCAGTGGATTTGGTTAATGCAGAGAAAGAAAGAAAATAGAAAAAAAATTAAGCAGAAGGATTACAATCAATAATATCAGGAATATAGTCATTCAACAAATATAAGTAGATTATTAAATATTAGTGATGATAATGGTGATGATGATAGACAGGAGATACATTTCATCACTTGAATATGTATATAAAGTTAAAAAAATATTCATTATTGTTGCCATTGTTGGCACCACTGATGTTCTCCAAATTAAAAAATAAATAAATAAAGGGGCAAATCTAAATAATTACAAAGCAAGAGATGTTGAGGTGAGAGAAAGAAAGATTTAAAAAGAGAGAATGAGAGAAAATAGCAAAAAAAAGGATACATTCATTGAAGATAAATTAGTAATGATATATTGAAGAGTCTAAAGAATGAACAAATTAATTACTAATTAATAGTAACATATTAAATAATAATAACGATACTAATAAATTGCAATGGTGGCAACAATGGTGTTATGGCAAAGGGGGAAGAAAAAAATATATAAATAAATAAACACCTATGGTAATATAAATGGTGAGGAATGTAGAGATTATAGAAGGCTGGTTGAGATCATTCAAAGAGTTACACGCAAATACATAAAAATAAAGAACAAGTAGAAATAATAATAAAGAAAAAGAAAGGAAAATTTTTTTAATAATGCTGCCAATATTATTATGATGGTAATAGAATTTTTTTTTTTTTAAATAGTTTCCTTATATATATTTGCAATTTTTCCCCCTCTTTTGTACATAATGCAGGTATATATTCAGATTCAATGTGGGGCCATTAATTCACAAATCAGGGTAACTTGAAAGGAGCAATGGAGCCATATAGTTGTTTAAATTCAGAAGTCTTATGTTTGAATATAGCTGTCTGTTTTCTTTATTAATGTAATCTCTTAGTAATTGTTGCCATTGTGTACAAGAGATTGTTTTTTTTTGTTTTTTCAATTATTATTATTGTTATTTACTCATATCGATATATTCTTGTGCAGCTGCACAAAAATATTGAAATAAAGTTTCAATACAATATTAATGTTAGATGAAAAACTCAAAATGAAAACCGAAATAAAAGGTTAACTTGAAGTACTACAATTACTAAAGCTAAATATGAAATAAAAAATAAATTAGTATTGCAATTTTACAGTTTTACTGTATAAAAAATTAAAAGAAAAATGCAATAAAAATAATTCATAATTTATATAATTATGCAATAATTGTGCAACTGTACAAACTAATTATGCACACGTTTTCCCTATTTTTGGCCCTTGAACAGTGTGAAAAAGTTAAAAAGTGAACAAAAAGAGTAGGAGTCCGAGTTGATCCTCTACCTGTTCTCTGAGGATCTGAGCTCCTGTGAATCTCTGCTCGACTGATCAGATTCCCTGGAAGAAAAAGCAGCTTCACTGAATGTACAGCACACTGATTGTGACTCTTAGAAGTGGTTTTCATAATCCAGGCAAGGTTCTTAACACTTGTCCACTATTTTTAAGCAAATATATACACACACGTAATGGACTTACTAACATTAGTCCACTCGTACTTCAAAAGGGGCATGTTGTCTCAAGAGTTATATATAGTTGGTCCATAAAGGTGAAGATTTTCAGTAGGCCTATCTAGGTTTGTGTACATACAGAAATGTAAATAGGCTACATAAATAAACCCACCCTGAATTGTTTTATTTTTGTAGTTTGTACACTCGACTAGACAGCTGAACTTTGTTACTTATTTTAATCAGTCGTAACTTACAAGTGTTTGTCTTCTTTCCACCAAAATTCACTTTGCCAAAGCAAATAGGCACTGAAGACGAGTCATTGTTAGTTACGGAAGAGAATTTACTGATATGTACTAGCCTCCCCTTACCAAAAAGTAGTTTATTTTAGTAAGTATACTTAAGTAAAGTTCTAGTATATTTTTAAGTAAACTTAATGTAGTAAGTATACAAATATCAGTGTACTAGTAGAATACTTGTAAGTGTACTATTTCAATACTCCTTGGGACTAAATTGGCCCACTTTCTAGTATATAAATTAAGTATACTTCAAAAATAAAGAAATAAACAACATTTTGAACAAAAAGCTGAAAAATAACTATTAATTGGATTCAGAATGATAATCAAAACGTAGATAAAAGTCGATCAACACCCCAAAGCTTGGCAGTCATTATTACCTCTCCATTGGTCGACATTTTATTCCATAACGTTACACAGTTTTGATGCTGTTTTATGTCTGATGATCGTGTTCGATTACATGTGGAAGCATCGGTTGTTTCGGTTTCTTCTTCTCTTGTGTTTTTTGGCAATTCTGTACAGAAGATGTGTACTAGCGCGCCCTACAGTATAACAATGAAAACACGGATTCTAGGAACACAAGTATAGCTCAAATATATTTAGACTTTTTCGAAGTATAAGTCAAGTATACTTAAATGTCATTTTAAGTATATTTCTGAGAAGTACATACAAAGTAGACTAAAAGTATACTTTCCTATTTTTAGTTTAAAATAAGTATACTAATAGCACACTTGATTAACTTCATTTTCGTAAGGGTACACCAAACTAGTCAGATGTTTGACTAAAAAACGCAATTTTAGATTAGCTGCAACGTATAAAACGCACAACACCAGTTCTTCTGCTTCTGATTGGATGAGCAACTGAGACCGCAGCGCGCCGTTGCTATGTTGCTTAGCAACCGTAAAAATCCCACTTAGCTAAAATCTGTTTTTCAACGGCTCTGGCGAAAACTGTTTAGTCCGTATATTATTGTTATTTAAAAAAATTTTTATCATAATTGTGAAATATTTGGTATTTAAATGTTAGTCAGGAGTTCACAGTTCATTTACTATGTAAAATCATATGATAATGACTGAAGTGTCTTGTAAATTCTGCACACTAACCTTTCACACATATTACACACAATTTTTTTATTTTTTTGTACATCTATCAGCTGTTGCGGATTTGAATGATGAGCAAGTACTCACCACAAATGCCGGAAGGTTGGCTAAATCATTGCGAATTTCACACCCCAGAATCATTCAATGTCAAACGACGCCATTTTGTCAAGTTAAGTATCTGTCGAGTGTTTCCTTCATAAACGAGCTCGTTTGTTTACTTTTGCAGTCAGCCGTCTTAAAGGAACAGTTCACCTTAAAATTAAAATAATGCGATTGTTTCCTCATTATTCATATAGTCAAGCTAAAAAAAAAAGATGATTGTGCGCTATAGTATGATTTGTGCACTATATTCTAAATAATATATATTCAGTCTTCTGAAGCCACACATTGCGTGGAACCGATATTAAATTTTTTATTTTAATTATATTATAACACAATAACTGTAACGGGGCGACAGAGACGTGAGATGTGCGGATCCATCTGCAAAGCTTTTATTCCTAAGAGTGGTCTAAACAGGCAGGGTCAAACACCAGCAAACAGGTACAATCCAGGGCGAGACAGAAGAGCAATCCAATAAACAGTCCAAGGTCAAAGGCAACATAGAGACTCGGTACAGGCTAAACAATACTCGGCAGAGAACGGTTGTTTGAGTGAGTGTTATATAGTGAATGTGTGATTGATGACAGCTGTGTGCAATCAGTGCTGTGTGCAATCAGTGCAGTGTGCAATCAGTGCAATGGTTGATGGGATATGTAGTCCGGGATGACATGCAACAGTTTGTGTTGCGCGAGAGTCAATGAAATGGAAGGGTGATATCTGGTGGTGATTGAATGGAAGTCCATGGACAGGATTCGTGACAATAACACTAAAACTAAAAAATATTTTCAGTAATTAAGATAAAATGAAATTAAATATAAATATAAATATGAGATGAAAAAAAAAATAGTTAAAAACTAAAAACAAATCTTAGGAACGTTGCCTAACTGAAATGAATAAGATTAAGAAGTACTAAAATTACATAAAGCTTTATATAAATATTTAAAAGTAATAAAAATGTCAGAATAACATAACAAAATTACTAAACATAGCCTATACTAAAATGACAAAATATGAAAATAAAACCTAATTCAAAATATTAATAGATAATACTAAAATAAATCTCATTACAAATTTGACTATAAATATTGCAGAATCTTAAATGTATCATTTTATTTTACACCTTCAAAATCTTAAAATCTTTAGATTTAAAGGGGAGAAAATCCCAGCTTTTCAGTACAGCCCAAGGCATTTAAACTTAAATTCATATATTATTATCATTATTAACATGCATATTTAATAATTATTATGAATCCAACGTTTAGCAAATGTAAACAGGATCAGATCAGTAATATTTGTGCTGCCAATCTGACATCTATAGTTACACCAGACGACCTGTTTAAACAGCCAGAGTCATGATAACAGCAGCTTTTGAGAACAAATCACCTGTTTTCCGCGTTCACACTCATGTGAGGAGGACTGTAGAGATCTAGTTTGTCCACTAGATGTCAGTAGATGACGGTCTGTTTACAGAGCTGGATCTGAAGGGAACATTTCAATGTCTTTCCAGTGAGGCAATGATCTGTGGACATCCTGAGAAAACAGACTCTGAATACACAATACAGACTGTACTAAAAGGAACAAAATGAGAAGTATATTTAAAAATATCGGTAACTGTATAACCCATCCTCTGTAAGGGTCGACCGCAGCCTGAGATATGTGGATTATGTGCTCATTTATCTGAGATCAAGATCTGGTTAATAATTCATAGATTATAGGTTAAATGGCATGCAATAGACCTACTGAACAAATGGCTAAATTTAGCAGCTCACCTGGTGCGCTTAACCACACCTTCTCTCCTCTTTTCTCGGGTTTGTACAGCACAGTACATCGTGTCCCAGTGTTCTTCGAATCAGTGATCTGACAAGAGAAAAATGTTCAGACTGTGCAGGGTGTACGTTACATTATGTGCCTTTATAGAGGAGACACTTCACTTGTTAAATCAGGTTATCATCTTGGAAACCACCAATTACATTTATGACCTCTGTTGTATAAGCATCATAGCCGTATTTATGATCCTGTCGTATATGGGTCATATACACTTTGCTGTCCTAGCAGTGAAAACCATATAGTTTAAAAAAGTATAGTAAATATGATGGAAAATTGAGGGGAAACAAGATATTTATGGCATTTTATGCATATAAATAATGTATTATTATTTAAATTTTTGTGTTACAGCATAAATATTGTTTATTGTATTATTATTATACAAGTACAGTACAATGTCCCCTATTGTACTTCACCGTTTTCTCCAGAGCTGCTTTAAAGATGAATTACACTCATTCCTTAATTGATGGACTTTACATTGAACTGAACTGAATCAACAATCAACTGAATTACTACTGCTGACTTTTGTCTTTTTTAAAACTGCTCTACAGTAGAAATACATTTTGTTTGCATCACTATTATTTTCCTGTTGGTCTGTGTAAAGCTGATTTCAAACAATCTAGATATCTATCTATCTATCCTCCTGTCTCTCTGTCTATCTATCAGTCTGACTATATCTTGTTTGTCTAAAACAGGGCTGTCCAAACTCGGTCCTGGAGGGCCGGTGTCCTGCAGAGTTTAGCTCCAACTTGCCTCAACACACCTGACTGGAAGTTTCTATGCCTAGTAAGAGCTTGATTAGCTGCTTCAGGTGTGTTTAATTAGGGTTGGAGCTAAACTCTGCAGGACACCGGCCCTCCAGGACCCTGGTCTAAAACTTTCAGACAAGTCTTTGTAAACCCACTCAAAGTTGTCTGGAAATTAAAAATGCCATGCAGATGTCTTTCTTTCAGGACTGTATAAATATATAGTCCTGAAAGAAAGACATTTATGTGGAAAAAAGTATTGAACTGCAGCATGGAAAGTTCCATTCACTTGAAACATTCTGTTCTTTCTATGAATTGTTCTCATCCAGCACCCACCCAGAACAAGCACCAATCAAATCACGCTCCCAAGTGAACTGGATAGACAACATCCATTAAACCGTATAAACAGTATCTGGACACAGCTGTGGTCATTCCTCCTTGTGGAGATTAACTAGTACTTGTGTGCTACTTTCAAAACCACAGGAAAACACTTTATAGGCTACTTTTAAATGTGAAAACCTTTTACAGTCGCTCAAGTGTGTTTTTGGCTTGATACTTGAGTAAATAGTTGATACAGCACCACGCTTTATCTTAAGGCTAAAACTTTTCTGTGCTACTGACTCGCCTGCAATAAAAACTACAAGTTAGTTGAAAGAAATACATGTTAAACGGCTCGCCGTAGCGCCGCATTACTCGTCCCTGGCCATGTACTGTAGCTCTTCTGAATGTTCCAGAAAAACATCATGTTCCCAGAATCGCGCCTCACGTTGCAGCGGTGGGTCCCGTCCGCCTCTGTCCGGGTGAAAGTGTGTCACTGGGTTACCGTGAGTCGCGCACCGAGGGGCGGAGCCACGGACGAAAACACGAACCACAGAACATTCAGTTCTGAGCGCTCGCGCGCAGCCTGGGAGTCCCGTTCTATTGTGAGACACGCTCGAGAGCTTCTATGGAACGCTGAAGCGTCTGATCTGAACGCACGCTGCATCTGAGCTGCTCGACAGACTTACAATTCACGCGTTAGGCTGGAATTACTACTGTCCACCTGAATTATAAGATATCAAGAGTCTGAAGCCATGGAATCAACAAAGCAAGGTAAGACATGTATTATTTTATTGCTTATAATTATACATTTTGTATGCATTACGTATTTAGCAAATACGTTACAATTGCTATACATTTGACCGCGTTACAGTGATGTATTATTTTGATATATAGCATACAGGATTTCCACTGTCATAGAAATATTAGGGAATATGCATGTGATTTCTACACATATACATGTCATAGAGATGTTTTTGAAGTCACTCTCACATATATTAGCAGCTAAAAATAGCTGAATCCCTATAAAACCCTTGATCATTCATTCAAGATCTTATTTTCCATCTTTATTTGCATTTATTGCTGCATTTATGGTTTTAATGTACATTCAAGCCCGACTTTAAGGATTTTTGTGTACATTTATTAGTGTAGTTTTTGCATGTTTATAGTGAAAAAAATGAGACACCAAACAGAAGTAATGTAATATTGTAGGCTTAATGCGTAAATGTATTATTGATGCGCGGTCTATGGTGTCGTCAAATTAAAACGTGTTTCAGAATGAAATAGTATAGTTTTGCTCCGAGTCATCGGTCGAATCTTGTGATTTAAAGCACCTTTGGCACGCTTTCCATTGCTTACATGACAGTGCTGCAGCGCTGTGGGTTAGGAGTGCCCGTGACGTCACGCGCACGCAGTACTCCGAGTACTAGAAGGCTCGAGTTCACATGCCTCTCCTTGCCTAGTCATGTGCCTGTGTGTACTAGGAGTCGGGGCTCCGCCGCTGATTGGCCGTGACGTGCGCGGTGCATAGTCTCTGATTGGTCGAGGCGAGACGGTTGCAAAATTTAGCACACTGCCCTGACGCGAGACTCACTGCAGTACCACGTGAGGACGCAGCATACAGCTAGTGACCTAGATATTCTTCCAGTACAAAACATGAGAGGTCCACGTGTGGGTGGGTCTGAGAAACTAAGGGTTATTGCTGCTTAGGTAACCTCCCTGGTCCATTTAAAGAAATACAGTACATGTTTGCTTACTTTTGTGAATGCACAGCTGGTTAGTATAGAATACATTCATTTATTCACGTACTTGAACAGTTAACTACTAAAAATATAGTATCTGTATATCTTTTGACTGCTCACACACACACAGACACAGACACAGACACACACACACACAGACACACAGACACAGACACACACACACACACAGACACACACACACACAGACACACAAAAACACACACAGACACACACACACACACAAAAACACACACACACACACACACACAGGTTTAGTTTTTATGGTTTATGGGGACTCTCCATAGGCGTAATGGTTTTTATACTGTACAGACCGTATATTCTATTGCCCTACACCAACCCTACCCCTAAACCTACCCCTCACAGGAGACTTTCTGCATTTTTAGATTTTCAAAAAAACTCGTTCTGAATTATGTATAAGCCTTTTGAATTACGGGGACACTGAAAATGTCATACCCATGTTATTATACAAATTTGTGTCCTCATAAACCACACACACAAAGTGATGGAATCAAATTATACCGCTTTTATTGTATAATGATTATTATACCATAGTAGTGTTACTGTACTAGGTTAGTGTAATTAAACATAATCCTGTGCAGTTTAATTCATCTAAAAATAGGTCACGAGTTGTTCAAAAAGAGCAAGTTCATCCAACATCCAACAAGATTATATAATTCTACAATTGTGTCAACAATGAAGGATGACTCTTTATGCAAGCATATTTGTGTGACTTCTTCATACCAAGATGACCAGCTCGCCTATTGAAATTAGTTTTCATAATGCAGTTATCCAATATGTGAATGAATACAGCGAAGGTCAAATTGTATCACGAGTAAAACATATTCTGGAACATCTTCAACTGTAATGTGATTCATTTACTTTTGTTTTCCGCCTGTTTTTTTTCAAAGACTACAGAAATACGTCTTAAAGGGACTTTGTTTTTTGTCGATGAAACGATTTGTTGTTGAATATTCAAAATTTTAATTCTGTAATGCATATTTGAAATCAGTTTGTGCATGTTATGTACTGTGCATGACTTAATCGTTTTTTTATTTCATTTTTAGAGTGTGAATTTTTAAAAAGTTCCTCCTTTTTTTATTTTAGTACATCAACTTCAGCTAAAATAAAAATAAAAAATGTTTCTTTGGCAACTAGGTGAAATTAAAAAAAAGTTAAAATTGCATATTTTATTGATTTTATAACAAATGTTTAATTTAGTTTCATTTTAGTTAACTGGTCAAAATTTTTAAATTGTATTTTTTGAGTGTGCATATTTAAAAAGTTCCCTCTTTTTTTTACTTATTTTAGTACATCCACTTAAAGTAAAATGAGAAATGTTGGCAACTAGGCCAAATAAAAAAGTTTTTTTATTTATGTAAAATGTATATATATATTTTTTTTTTCATTCAGTTAATGTTAATTTTATTTCAAGTAATTCTTTTTTTATGGTTTTAGGTAACTATATTAACCCTGGTTATTGTTAACTGTGTAAAAAAAAAATTTGGTAATTAGAAAATGCATATTTGAAATCAAGTCATGCTCTTGTAAATAAAATTTTTATTTATTTGTGTGCATTTATTAAAAGTTCCCTCTTTTTCTTATTTTAGCACATCAGCTTAATGTAAAATGAGAAATGTTGGCAACCAGGTTAAATAAAAAGTTTGTATTTTTTATTTCAGTTGTTTATTTCATGTAACAAAAATGTTTATTTTATGGTTTTAGTTATATTAACCTGACTATTGTTAACTAAGAATGTAATTCTAGAAAATGCATATTCAAAATCAAGTTTAGTACTGTGCATAAGTGGTCACACGCTTGTAAATGTCTTTTTTTTTGAGTCTGCATTTTTAAAACATTCCCTCTTTTCCTCATTTCCAAGGAGGCGTGATAGCCTACGTCTGCTCCTCAAGCTCCGCCCCCAGCCCGGAGTCCTGCATGAGTGACAGCTCTAACAGCCACTCCCCATCATCCTCCCCGCCTCTGCCCTCTAAACCGAGCCGCCTGACAGATCTGCCCACCGCTGGACTGCTGTTGAAACACACTCACCCACGCGGACACGCTTCTGACAAGACCCTCGCTGCCAAGAGCTCCATCACCAGTGAGTGAACGCTGAATAAGCGTATATGTGAGTCAGCTGTCTAAAATTGGCAGGATTTGTCCACTGGGTATGACTAACTCTTCCATGACTTTCCAGAGCTTAACGGGATGGTGCTGCTGTGTAAAGTGTGTGGAGACATCGCCTCGGGCTTCCACTACGGTGTTCATGCCTGTGAAGGCTGCAAGGTAAGGAAACACATCTAACATTTTGGCTCTGTTCCAAAACCTAGTGTTGTACAGGTAAGAGAGCATTTTAAGGCCTCATTGGCACGCACACAATGTAGAACCTTTTAGCCAGATTCTACAGCTTTGCATGTATATACTTTAGTCAAGTCAAACTTGATTTGCTTTGCAGAGGATTCAACCCCAAAATGCACCATTCTTCAGCTTTATTTCTGCGTCCAATTTATTTTTTATAAAAAAAAATTTATATATTTTTTGAGTTTGCATTTCAAATGTATCTCTTCAGTCACAGGGATTTGGAACAGTCCCGTAATATTTCCAGATGTGATATTTTCAAGAGAACAGTGTTGTTGTCAGTGTTATTTTAGTATAATTGAGATACTATTAGTTTTAATTAAAATTTTAATACTACTATAGATTTTATTCATATTTTGAATTAGGTTTTATTTTTATCTTTTCTGTTTTAATTTAAATTTTTAGTAATTTTTTTTAATGTCTATATAATTCCTTTTCATTTTTATTTCAGTTTTAGTTATTTTAGTACATAAGGTTAAACTAGATTAAAATGAGTAATGTTGCCTGGACAAATAGCTGAAATATATTTTATATTTCTATTTAACTAATTTTATTTCAGTTAATGTTTATTTTGTTTTTTTTATGGTTTTAGTTTTAGTTAACTATAATAACCCTGCTAATATTAACTAATACAAACAATTACATACACACACATATATATATATATATATTTCTTTCTTTTTTTTTTAAAGAAGGTGAAAAATAAAAATAAAATGTATACTTATTATACTTAATTTTTACTTAAATAAAAAAAAACACCTTGGCTAACTGAAATAAGTTGAAGTACTAAAATAACTATTAATTAATACTAAAACCGGAAAAAAATTTTTTGAATTAAATATAATTCAAAATATTATATATGTTATATATATATATATATATAATATTTCATTAATACTTTTTAATATTTATTTACAGGGCTTCTTCAGAAGAAGCATCCAGCAGAATATCCAGTATAAGAAATGCCTGAAGACAGAAAGCTGCACTATAGTGCGGATAAACCGCAACCGCTGCCAGCAGTGCCGCTTCAAGAAGTGTTTATCAGTCGGGATGTCCCGAGACGGTGAGTTACCAGACATATGAGCTCAAGCTTTTGTGATGTTGACTTTAGGACTTGCACAACTACCTTTTTTTGTAGAAAAGTAGTCCAGAGCAGAAGAACTAAATGCGGTGAATCTCTCTTCCAGCTGTGCGTTTCGGACGCATCCCGAAGCGGGAGAAGCAGCGGATGCTCCTGGAGATGCAGACGGCCATGAATAACATGATGAACAACAGTCAGCTGCAGCACATGCTTCACGGCGCCATCGACAGCAGCCAGAGCGACTCCAGCTCCTCCCTGCCGTCGCCACCGGATTCGCCCCGCTCCTCCTCC